GGTGATGGTGATGGTGGTGGTGATGGTGGTGATGGTGGTGGTGATGGTGATGGTGATGGTGATAGTGGTGGTGGTTATAGCGGTGATGGTGGTGGTGGTGGTGGTGATGGTGATGATGGTGATGATGGTGATGATGGTGATAGTGGTGCAACAGTGATGGTGGTGATGATGATGGTGATGGTGATAGTGGTAGTGGTGGTGGTGGTGGTGATACTGGTGATGATGGTGATGATGATTATAATGGTGGTTGTGATGGACCTTCTTGTTGTTGTGTTGGAGTTTTGGTTTTCTTTTCTTTTTTATGCTTTCTCCAACATCTAATCTCTTCCTCTGTTACCCTGGTGGCTCCCCTGGGAGGGCCCCATTTTGAAGAGCTTGGGCTCTAACCTGCTTCAACTGAATTTTAAGACCCTTTTCCGGAGAATATCACACTTATGTGGTGACTTCCAGCCCCGCTCTGCAGATTACTGTTTCCTCTGCAAAGTCTGTATTCATCTCTGTTTTAAAAAGAAAAACCTTATCACCTGGTTTCCAGCTGAAATAGGAATTTGCTGGTACTTTCCAACTTCTAACCAAAATCTGGAACTTCCTGTGGTCCCAGCTGAGCACCACCTCCCTTCTGCCACCTACCTCTTCTGCCGCTTTTACAGGCCGGCTGATGGGTGCCCATGATATAGGCCTTCTTGTTGTCAGCTCCTCCTTCCTCCAGTGTTGGGCCTGCATCTCAATTTAGGGGTGTTCCCTGCCACTTCCTGACCCCAAAGCCCCATGGGATCCAGCACCAGATACAGCCCCACCCGACAAGCTCCTCTCCCTGTGCCCACCCTCCCCCACCTCCCTTCTTCTAGGATAGGTGTGTGGGGCTGGATGGATCCTGCCCTGAAAAGAACCCAGCACCAGGTCAGAATCTCCACCAGGGTTTGAATTTCAGCTCTGATTCAATTAGCTGTGTGGTCTCGGGCAAATCACTTCACCTCTCTGAGCCTGCTTTTTCAAACCACTACTCTGCATTCATGACTGGGACTCCTATTTGATATTCCATTAGGCCATGAAAGGCCTCCTCAGTTCTCTAAGTCAGACCACAAAACTCCTCAATTCCCTAGATTTCAGATGGGGAGAAATAAACAGTCTTGACCTGTTTCACTCTGCCTTGTTGAAAGAGGGTTCCTAACAGGTTCCAGCGCCAGCAGGCAGGGCCCCTTAACACAGGATCTCACTCAAGTAACTGATAAGGAGAGGAGCAAAGTGATACTGTCGTTAGGACTCCTGGTCCTAAACCAGCCTGCCTCGGGGCCCCAAGAGAAGAGAGTACATTTGCCTGAGGCCTTAGACCTCTTATGTGTCACCCAGTCCAGCCAGGTGGCGCTAGAAAGCCTTCCTTCCACAGGAGGCCAGGAGCTGGCCAAGCAGAGAGAGAAGTGGCACACAGGCCAGCTGGTGCCCGGGCTTGGAGGTCAGAGCGTAGCTGCCTCCCAAGAGGTGGACCCATTCCCAAGGCTGCAGATCCCCGCTAGTCAGCATGACGGACTCCTGAATCTGTGCCTGACCCCGACCCTCCCCTGCAGGCCAGACGCAGGCCCGTGGATCTCTCACTCGGCATCACAAACTCAAAGTGGGAAAGCCAACTCTTCGTGTCCTTCCCCCCCATGCTGTTTTATCTCCCTGACTTTTCCACCTTCTCCGGCCAAATTTCTGACTTCAGAGCCCGTGCATTCTATCATCCCATGTGAGTTTCCAGCAGGCCAGCCAGTACCCCAGCTTCAAAGAATCCCCAGCCCTCCAGGGATAGGGCTGGGATAGTGGACAGCGGACGGAGAAGGGCGTGGTGCACCTGCTGCAAACTGGCCAAGGGGAGGAGGCGAGCGGGGGTGGGCAAAGTGTGAGCAACGGGAGCAATGAGGGGGCCTCCCATATGAGAGGCCTTCTCAGAGTTGGCTCAACTCACAGAGGCTGAGTGTCAATTGTCAGTGAATTTTTGTGGTTATTAGTGTTAAAAAAATTTCTTTTAAACAGAGGCTGTGATGTGCTGCAGGTCAGAGGCATCCTACAGACAGAGCCCTCAGGGCAGGAAAGCCAGGAGTCAGCAGAAATCCTAGAGAGGCCTTGGGTCTCAGAAACCAGATAGAGGCAGGGGTAGAAGGAGAGACATCTGGGGAAATCTTACTAAGATCACAAGATCTCAGATAACATTGGTTTACATTAAGAAGTGAAGGGGCAGGATACCATAATAATAGAAATAGAGTAATAATATTAGAAATGCTAGTAATAGGGGCACTACAGACAGGCCCAAAGATGTTTACAATCAGTAAAAAATTAAAAGCAACCTTGACACTCAGTGAAAGGTAGTACCAGTTATTCTCATGTGTATGCATATGTGTGTATAAACCATACATATTAGTGTGTATATATGTATATACATGTAAATATCAGCATGTATGATATAAACTAGTGTATAGATGTATATGATATGTATCAGCATGTATGTGTATATACATGTGAATATACATGTGCATGTATGTCAGCATATATATCAGTGTGTATACACGTATGGATGTGTATACGCACATATTTGCATGTATCTAACCATGTATGATATGTCAGTGCGTATCTGTGTGTATGGCATATATTGGTGTGTGCATATACTGGTATGTAAACCTGTGTGTCAGCATACATAATATTTACTAATAGAGTAATATCTCCATCTTGTTTAGAAACACTTAGAAACACTTTTTTCACTGAACCTAGAATAGAAACAAATCATCAAATTCAAACTTCTGAGGTTCCTGAGGTTTCTCACCAGCCTGGGGGATTCCTTCAGGTTCAAGGCTTGACCAGACTTTGCAGAAGGGGTGGACTGGCTGGTGCTTCCCTCTGACACAGAGAGGATACTGAGTCCCCACTCGATGACCACAGGGTTCAGCAGCGTCTTCAGCTCCTGTGAAGAGGGGTGGGGCAGAGGAAAAGGGAAGAAGCACAGACTGGGTGCCAGCACCTAAGCCTCGCCGCCATAGATCTGTGAGGTACACAGTTTATTATCCCATTTTACAGATGGGGAAACAAGCCCAGAAGGCAAAGGGGTGAGCCACAGGGTTGAAAAACAAAAAAAAGATGGTTCTAAGTTAGGAGCCAGCTCAGTGAGGACAGGGACTGCCTGTGTCTGTCTCGTTCACTGCAGCATCTCCAGAGCCTAGAACAGGTGCTCAGAAACATCTGTTGCATGGATGGATGGATGCATGGACGGGCGGATGGACTGGGTGCACCAACTACTCCTATCCTTCAAACCTCAAACCAATAATCTTGCTTCAAGGCCAGAGGGCGCCCACTCTCCTTTCTTCTCCCTCCTGCATCCTCCTCTCTCCCAGACCTGGTAAACGCTCTGCCCCAGCATCACACACGCCCTCTCTCCAGCTGGTCTTGAGTTCTGCAAGGGATATTTCAGGACATTTGTGGTCATGTGCTGCCACCTACGGGGAGTCCTGAGCTACTGCAGAGAGGAGCTCTGTTTGACTCAGATCTTACGTTACGCAGAAAGGAAAACTGAAGCACAAAAGGCATTTGGCAAGGACTTGGTAAAGGCCACAGTAAATCGAGGGCTGGTTTAGGTTTAGAATCTTTTGTCAAAGGAGGAAAACATTGGGCTAGTTCAGAGATGTTCAGTCAGGTAGAGCAGGAGAGGGCAGGGGGAGGGGACAACTACGGGTAGGAAGGAGCTCTCTGTCTTATTTCACTTCAAAACAACCCTGCAAGGAGTGTGTCCAGGTAGCACTGTTACTTAAAAAAAGGAAAGAGAATCTGTGAAGGCAATTTGGAAAGTCCCAGAACAAAAGAGCTGAATAAACAGGACTTAGAAAACAGGAACCAGGACAGCTCAGAAGATCCCAGGCGGAGGGACTCAAGAGCCCTCTTGGGGGTTCCATCCCCTGCCGCAGAGGTGTCTCTACATAAAAGGCAAACCCCTGCAATGGACTGTCCAGGCAGCCTGATTACGTGGCCACCTAATACGCTGGGCCCAGGGCTGGCAGACCAGAACTGCAAAGTGTCAGGTAGAAGTCATTGCCTCAAGGAAGGGATGCTGAACCCGAAAGCAGCAGTTGTCCCCATCTTGCAGGTGAGGACACTCAGTCTCAGCTTTGATAGGGGTGGTGTTGTTAGACAGGTTTTTGTAGGTTGCAAGGAAAAGAAACATTCTCAGGTTTCATTAAAAGATGGGGGAAAGCAAAGCCTTAGCCACCCAGCCAGCCTCCTAGAGTCTGGAACAGTTTTGGTTTACAGCAAACAGCAGCTCTGTAAATCGGGGCGACGCCCTTGGAAGACCCTCCGCAGGGGCACCCTAGCCAGGCACACTCGGGCTCCGCCATCATGGTGACTCAGCACCTCTGGGTCTTGGCCTATTCCTCTGTTGTCCTTACTCTCCTCTGTCAGTTTCTGCTGACTCACAGTTCTTGTTAATTCATGGCTCCTACTCACCCATCGCTTATATTGACTCAAGGCTTCTACTTAGAACTTTCCTTCTGTGTGACTCTCTGCTTCTGCCCCGATACTGACACTAATCCTTTCTCCATGTCTTATACTCAAAATCTGCAGAAGGATCTGAAGTGTTCAGTTGGTCCCCAGTATCCCTGTGGCTTGAATTTCTCACACTGAGCTGCCTCACAATCTTCTGATCAGCCTAGATATTACCTGTCCATAAGTGGCGTTCCACTCCTGTCCAAACAGTTGTATCCTGGGTCCCAAGTTGCAAAGTGGATAACTCAGAACAGAGAACCCCTCTGAAGGGGTTTTGGGCATGGAGCGTATGCAGATTGTTAAAGCCAGCTTGTACATGGCAGGACCAGGATTCGAGCCCAGGATTTCTGGTTCCAAGTCTTCCCCTCCTGATTACACAGGCTGTCCTGCCCTCTGCAATCAGGAAACAGTAATAACCAACATTGACTGAGCCTTATATGCCAAGCACCATTCTGGCTTTACACTGATGATCTCAATCCTGACTTCGATCGTCTTTAATTGTGCCCATTTCACAGAAAAGAAAACTCATTTATAAAGATTAAATAACAGGCTCAAAGTTATACACCTAGGAAGTGGCAAAAAGTGACCTGAACTCAGCCCTGTTTGAGTTTGTAAAGGAGAAAGAAAAGGAATACAGAGAGACTTTTGCTGGTAGAAAGCTATAAATCACCTAGATTTGCACCTTCCACTTTCATTTGCACTAACCAAATGTGGCTACTGAGTACTTGATATGTGTCTAGTCCAAAGTACCTTTTCCAACCACAGTTGTAAATGGGAAAGCTGGAATATTCACAAATATGTAGAAATTAAACAACACTCCTAAGCAATCAATGGATCAAAAAAACCAAAAGGAAAATCAAAAAAATCTTGAAGCAAACAAAAATGAAAACACAACATATTAAAACTTATAGGATGCAGCAAAAGTAGTTCTAATTAAATGCCTACATTAAGAAAGCTGAACATCAAATAAAAAACCTAGCTTTACACCTCAAGAAACTAGAAAAAGAATAAACTAAACCCAGTGTTAGCAGAAGGAAGGAAATAACAAGGATCAGAGCAGAGATAAATGAAACACAGGTTATAAAAACTATAGAAAAGATCAATGAAAACTAAAAGTAGGTTTTTAGGAAAGATAAACAAGTTTAGCAAACATTTTACCTGGACTAAAGAGTGAAAGGAGACTCAAATAATAAAATTGGAAATGAAAGAGAAGACATTACAACTGATACCACAGGAATACAAAGGATCAAAGTAGTCTTCTGAACATTTATATGCCAACAAACTGGGTAACTGAGAAGAAATAGATAAATTCCTAGAAACATTCAACCTACCAAGACTAAATCATAAAGAAATAGAAAATCTAAACAGATCTATAATTAGTAAGGAGATTGATCAGTAAATCAAAAATATCCCAACAAAGAAAAAACTAGGACCAGATGGCTTCAATAGTTCCACCAAGCATCTAAAGAATTGACACCAATCCTCCTCAAACTCTTCCAAAAAAAAATGAAGAAAAAGGAACACTTCTAAACTCATTTTACTAGGCCAGCATTACCCTGATAAGAAGGCCAGATGAGCACACTACAAGAAAAGAAACTTATACAGCATTATCCCTGATGAGCGTAGATGCAAAAATCCTCAGTGAAATACAAGCAAACCAAATTCAGCAGCACATTATAAGGGTCACATGCCATGATCAAGTGGGATTTACCTGTGGCCTGTAAGGATGGTTCAACATACACAAGTCAATCAATGAGATACACTACATTAACAGAATGAAGCATAAAAATCATATGGTCATCTCAATAGGTGTAGAAAAAGCATTCAACATTCTTTCATGATTAAAAACTCTCAGCAGATTAGGTGTAGAAGGAATATATGCCAACAATATAAAGGCTATAAATGACAAGCTCACAGATTACATTATACTCAATAGTGAAAAGCAAAAGCTTTTCCTCTAAGATCAAAAACAAGACAAAGATGCCCATTCTCACCACTCCTACCCAAAATAGTACTGGGAGTTGCAGACAGAGCAATTAGACAAGAAAAAGAAATAAAAATCACCCAGATCAGAAGAAGTTAAATTATCTCTGTTTGCAGATAACAGAATATTATGTATAGAAAACCCTAAAGACTCCACCAAAAGAACTGTTAGAACTAATACACAAATTCAGTAAAGTTGCAGGATACAAAATCAACATGCGAAAATTAGTTGCATCCTATACACTAACAACAAACTATCTGAAAGAGAAATTAAGAAAGCAATGGCATTTACTAGAACATCAAAAATAATAACTCAAGATTAAATTTAACCAAGGAGGTGAAAGACTGGTTTACTGAAAACTATAAGACAGTGAAAGAAATTGAAGAAGATACAAATAAATGAAAAGGTAAGAATATGAAAATGAATATATGTATGTTCACGTTTGACTGAAGCATTATGCTATACACCAGAAATTGACACATTGTAAATAGACTATATTTCAATAAAAAATATATATATACAGAAAAAAAAAGGTATCCCATGTTCATAGATTGGAAGAAGTAACATTGTTAAAATGTCCACACCTTCCAAAATAATCAACAGATTCAACACAACCCCATCAAAATTCCAAAGACAATTTTCATAGAAATAATGAGAAAAAAAAAAAGAAACCTAAAATTTGTAGAGAACCACAAAAGATCTTGAATAGCCAAAGCAATCTTGAGAAAGAAGAACAAAGCTGGAGATATTGCACTTCTTAATTTCAAACTCTATTACAAAGCCATAGTAATCAAAACAGTATGATACTGGTATTAAAAACAAACATACAGAACAATGGAACAGAATAGGGCGTCTACATATATAGTCAACTAATCTTGGACAATGGCACAAGAAAGGATAATAAATGGTTCTGGTGTCTCATAAATGGTTTTGGGGAAACTGGACAGCCACATGCAGAATAAAATTGGGCCCCTATCTTACACCACTCACAAAAACTAACTTGGAATGGATTAAAGACTTAAATGTAAGACCTGAAATGGTAAAACTCCTAAAAGAAAACATACGGGAAAATCTCCTTGCCATGGTCTTGGCAATGATTTTTCTGGATATGACACCAAAACACAGGCAACAAAAGCAAAAAGAAACATCAAACTAAAGAGCTTCTGCATACCAAAGGAAACAATGAACAAATGAAAAAGCAATCTACAGAATGGGAGAAAATCTTTGAAAACCATCTATCCGATATATTCCTCATATATATAAGGAATTCATACAACTCAATGGCAAAAAAAAACAAAACTGATTAAAAAATGGACTAAGGATCTGAAGAGACATTTTTCCAAAGAACATACAAATGGCCAACAGGTACATGAAAAGGTGCTCAAAATTACCAATCATCAGGGAAAAGAAAATTAAAACCAGAATGAGCTAACCTCATACCT